CTTACAGTAGTTACATGAATTTTAAAATGTATATCTTTTCAAGCCTACAAAATCAATAAATGTGACTCAAATTAATAACACTACTTTTATGTGACAGATATTGTTTTGCTGAACTTAAATTGCTACTTGCAACATGAATATTATATTGACTGCTGGGTTTTTTGAGTTTCTGGTACTCTTCTACCATGTGGTTTGGGAATTTCCTCAACACTTGATTCATTCAAATTATTACATAGTTTTTATTCATATGGCCTGCTATGATCTCATGGGGCTCATTTGATACGGCTGCATCATTTATTGCTTGCTGTGGTCTGAATGTTTGTGTCCCTCCAAAAATTCACGTGTTGAAATCATAAACCCCAAGTGATGGTATGAGGAGGTAGGGCCTTTGGGAAGTGATTAGATTATGAGGGTAGAGCTTTTATGAATGTGATTAGTGTTCTTATAAAAGAGGTCTGAGAAACTCCTTACCCCTCTGCCATGTGAGGCTTCAGTGAGAAGATGGCCTTGTATGAGGAAGTCACCAGACACAGAATTCGCCTGCACCTTGATCTTAGACTTTCCAGCCTACAGAACTATGAGAAATAAATTTCCATTGTTGGCCTGGCAGAGTGGTTCACGGCTGTAATCCCAGCAGGTTGGGAGGCCAAGGCAGGTGGATCACTTGAGGTCAGGAGTTTAAGACCAGCCTGGCCATCATGGTGAAACCCCGTCTCTACTAAAAACACAAAAATTAGCTGGGTGTGGTGGCGCATGCTTGTAATCCCAGCTACTCAGGAGGCCGGGGCAGGAGAATCATTTGAACCCAGGAGAAAGAGGTTGCAATGAGCCGAGATTGTGCCACTACACTCCAGCCTGGGCTTTTGAGACAAGTCAAGAGCAAGACTTGTCTCAAAACAAACAAACAAACAAACAAACAAACAAAAAAATCCATTGTTTATTAGTCACTCAGTTTACGGTATTTTGTTTTAGCAGCCTGAATGGATGAAAGCCCTATTCTTTCTCATTCTCCTGCAATTATTAAAGTAGTGCTAACTGGCCTTAACTTGAATACACACACACATGATAGTGGAGGTATCAAAATGACACTTACACAGTAGTTACCCAGATCCAAAACAGGCATATGCATTTTCAATTATAATTGAAATGAATACAAGCATGCAAAACTGAGACACCCAAGAATTTATCTGTGGCCTGATAGGGGCCCAAAAAACTGGGATAGGTTAATAAAGACAGCAAATTAATAGAGCTCAATGTTTTATTGTAAAATCAACTTTAAGAGAACACAAAGTACACATCTAAGGCTTTGAATTTTTGTAAAGAATACATTTATTTTTTGAAAATGCATTTAAATGTTCATGCAAATATCACAGGAAAATAATTTGAAAATTCAAATGATGCTAAAAAGCTCATCCTAAGAAACAAAAACTCCTTGTTCCTCCACCTTCCTCTAACCTTGTGATGCTTTCTAGAGGTAATAACATAAAAATGTTGTAGATTTCTTTTTCAGGATTTACTTTATCATTTGTAAATAAAATGCCTTGATTGCTATCTGTCAGCTCACCAATTTTTGACATTATTTTTGTCTTCTCATAATGGTAGATGAAAATTTTCATTATTTACACTCCCTTTTTTCTCCTCTCTTCATTTTCCCCATAAAATTACATCTCAATGTTTAATTCATATCCTATATTGTCTTTATTGAAATAATGTTTACTGTTAAACCAGGTAAAGCATTGTGATTATAGTTCTATTCATATGCAACTTTCTGTTTTTCCTGGAGTTGATAATTTCCTTTTCTTTTCATTTGCCTAGAATTGAGAATACTCTGTCTTCCCAAACAACATAAGAGACCTATAAATCTCTCTATACAATATTCCCAAAGGTCAAAGGTGTCAAATAATTTATGTATTCTAGTATTTTTTGGAGATATTATCCCCACATACAAACACCCTTAGAACCTTGACCCCCCTCCTCCAGCCTGGGCTGGTAGTTTCTAGGCCTGCTACACAGCTGTGGTCCTGGCACTTCCCCTGCTGTCATTCTGGGAATTCCCTTTACCTCTCTCCTGTTTCCTGGCTCCCATTCTTCCTCTTTCTTAGTTTAATTCCTCATTTAGGAAAACGTATCCTCTAGTGGCTACCTGAGAAAGCATTTATGGGAGACTGT